GTTCCTATTCCACTTTAGAACAAAGAGTTTGTCACATTCTAGAGGGTTAATTTGAACGTAGCACAAGTTCCAGCGCAGACTGGAACAGAGAATCGGCGCTGAAGCTGGTGTGTGCTGTGACCTGGACTGGAGCGAGCAGAGCTTACCTGAACTCAGCCTTGGAAATGGATATCCCCTTTTCTCCAGCATCATTCATCTGCCTCAGGTTTATTTTCAGACCTAGTGACACTGCTCTTGGTTTTCTCCTTATTGCTGTGGGGTTTCCTTTACTTTGGCTAACAAAAGGGATGGGGAAGATGCAAAGAGTATCTCAGTTCAAGTCTTAAGCATCATCCATGAGACACTTTCATGCTGGAGGAGGAACTAAATATACGAACACAGCTCTTTTGTCTCACATTTTCCCCCCACTTCAGAACAGAAAGTCAATTCCAGTATTTCCAAGGTTTCTAAATTACTCAGGAGGTTTTCAATAGCGTGGAGCACAAGCAGATGTGATAGCTCTCCCATGACAAAAATCAGAAGTATCTGATTTGCTCAGCTCAGGATGGGAATCCAGTGATGGATAGGTCATGCTGACCCTGCACGCCACATAGATTTGATTTCAGATGAATCAGAAGAAGAAACCTAGTTACAGGAAGGCTGTATTTAACTGTCTGGTTACTGTTCTGACAGAGATTACTGTGATTCGACAATGCTTTCCTCACCTTACACTGCTTTTCTGTGCTGAATGCTGTAGAAACAGCAGCCAGGGGATGGCTTCTGAGCACTTGCACTACATGCACCCCAGCATTAGTCTGAGGAGTCTGGGTTGAGCTTAGCTGCATTCACTGTGCCAGCTCATCTGTCAAGTAAAATCCAGTCACTTTGACAAAGTGACTTTAACCAACCCTTCCAGTAACTGGCTCTTTTGGGGTCATTTTGGCTGTGTTACTTATCTGGAGCTTACTTAACTCATCAAAATGCTTTATCACTCAGAAAGTATTTCAGGGTAGAAGCATGTGTCTGACGAGGCCAACAAATTCTGTGTTGTGAGGGCATCCCATGCCTCCCTCAGCTTCACAGGGCTTTCAGTGACCATCTTGTACCTTTTGTTCTTTATTAGTTGAGGCTATGCTTAAACTGTAAAGCAGCTCCTGCTCTTCCCATCACTAAGTGTTAACTCCAAGGTTTTTGCCTTTAGTCCATCGGCTTCTGAGAGGTTTGAGCTGCTGCAGTGGTATTTTCAACTCTGAGTTAGGTAACTGTCAATCTCTGAACAAACTTAATCCCTTCCTCTTCTCTTTGGAAGTCATTCTATAGCTGAGACTCTTGTCTCGTATTAACCTGTAACAGCTTCCAGCTTTTGCCTTTGCAAAGTCAACTCGCTTTGACCTAAAACCTCCTCCCCATGCTGTTAGCAAAAAGCTGTCAGATCTGCAGGCCTGTCCAGCAACAGCTTCCTGCATGGGAGAAACAAGCACCCTTGAGCTGCTTCTCTGAACTGCAGCTCAGCCAGCCCTCCTCTTGTTGCCGGTGCAAGGAGCAGGCCAGGCATTGCTGCTCAGCCACAAACCCAGTCAGGTTTGTTCTGAACTTGTTTGATGTGCTAGAAGCATCTCCGTGCCTTCTCGCTTGATGCTGTGTTAGTCAGTCACCTCTGCAGCAGGGCTGGAGGTGCCTTTGGCTCCTGCCCTTCTCACTGCTGCATTGGTATTTGCATCTGGTTAGTAAGGTTTTAGTGTAAAAGGTGTGGTTTGGGTTTTGCCTTCTTTTGGTAGTTTATTAATAGGGGTGCCAAGGTAAGTGTCTTGTGCAAAGAACCTGGGTCTTACTAAGCTGATTGTAAAGAATGTTCTTCTCAGCTCTGCATGTAAATGGAAGATTGACCTTTCTGAGCTGTAGGTTTAGCTCTGAGATGCAGTGCTGGCTGCAGCTGACTGAACTGGAAGATGGATCAGTCGTGGGACTGCGTGGAAGGAAGAGCTAGTGAAGGAAACTCAGTCTTGCTCTGGAAAGCTGTTGCTGTGTCACTTCTGCTGGAGGTTCCTCGGTGAAGTCAGGCTGGTGGCTTAAAACAAACTTCTCTGCCCATGAATTGTTCCTCAGTTTTGGGGTATTCAACAGGAAGCTCAGGGCAGTGACTAGAGAAGAGCAAGTGTTTATTCTGGTGCATGCCCCAAGCTGCTGCTTCTGGTTCCCTCAGCCTTCTGACCTTCTGCAGAGGTAGCTTTGCTGAAGGCAAATCCCAGCAGTTCAGTCCAGCCTATTTGGTGTATTTCCAAAGCACATTAAATGCCAGTGGTTCTTACATAGAAAAGCCCACGTAAGAAGACACAAGTGAACAACTTCTACCCCGGGTATCTTGGGACGGACAGCAGTCCATGGACATGTACTCTCCAAGCCATGTGTCTCCCCAAGTCTGCAGATGGAGGGTTGGATATGCATTTAGAATTAATTCCTTGATAGGTTTATGCTCATGATATCTGTTACAGTGGTACAGAGGGGTCATATTTCTACTGGTACCTTATATGCAGTTTGCAGCCAAGCTTAATGTGCAGTTTGGGTGAGCCATCCCTTTAGCTATCTAAGATCCAAGACCTATCCCTCTAAGATCTAAGCACCAAAATCAGAGACCACCAAGATCTGTGTTCTAGAGAGATCCAAAGACATGAATGAAGATAAGATGCTGCCTGGCTGATAGTAAGTAAGAAGCTGAGAGCTGCTAATAGGATTGAGTGATCAGTCACGTATTTTGAATAGCTTGATTACCCCCAGTTCCAAGCCCTTGTTGCTTACAGCTGTGATGCCACTGTCCAGATGTTGGCAGGCAGGAGAATTTGTACTGTGTCTCTTAACTGGGCCTCCTTTGTACGTGAAACACACCTTCTAAAAAGGGAATGTGCTGGGTAGGCAGTACTAGTGCAATGCAAGTCCTTTCTGTGCACTGCTGAAACTGCTGGGAGCTTGCTGGGGTCATGAATTAATGAGTGAAGGCTCATTATTGTCAAAGAGATTTCTGTATCTTTTAAGGCATCTGGCTGTGACGCAGCAGCTGTTGGTTGCTGCAGGGAGTTGTATGATGGTCAGAACCACTTCTGCTAGGTTTCTGCTCAGTGTTTAACACTAGACAGTTAATCTAATTGAGTTCAGAAAGTGCATTTTGAGGGAAGTGCTTCCCATGCACAATGTGTGTCCTGCTGTGGGCAAACAGCAATAGGTGGATGCAATGAGATCGTTTCACCTTCTTCCCACAAAATCATGTAAAAGAGCTGGAGTGGGGTGGGAAGTTCCCTGTGGAAGTGTGGAGGTGATCTCTTAGCAGAGGAGTTAGGTCTGGGGGTTAGTACTGGATCAGGAGCATTGCCTGGCAACCTGGGTTACAGGAACGTGACATGATGTAGACCAAAGCTCTGTGTAATGTGAAAGCTGAGTGTAAAAGCGATGGAGAACAGTGAGGGAAGAGAATGCTGCAGTGAGGCAGGGATGCGCCTGCCTCTTGGGAACTGTTCTGCAGAAACACTCTGAGTTAAAGCCTTGTAAGTGAAAACTTCTAGCTCAGAGTAAGTCAGGAGACTTGGGGCAAGTTAATAATGAACTTGATGCTTATAGGAGAGAGGGGAAAGGTGTGAGCTGTTCCTCTGCATGGTTAGAGCTGACTCTAGGATGAGATTGACCTGGTTTAAGTAACTATTGCATATTAAAATAAAGGTTGGAGCCAGCCTGCTTAGGAGCAGGTTGATGAGTAGGTCTGCTTCATGCTCTCACACTGCGGCTGCACACTGGTGAGGAGCTGATTGCCATGGGGCAGAGCCTGGCACCACACCTGCAGTGAGACCCTCTCTTCTCCCCAGCTGAGCCCCTGGGGCTTGAATGAGCTCACCCTTACTAGGTTGAATGAATCTCAGTGTTTCTTAGTGCCTGTGAACCCAGTCATTGCAGTATTAAGGCTTTTCTCTTACTTCATACTGATGTAGGTACATAGTATCATAGAACAGTTAGGTGTTTAAAATACCCAGTCCCTGATGTTTACATATTAAAGCAAACTAAGTTTAGAAGGACTTTGTTTTCCTCTGGATTTCTCTCCTTCCCAGCTCGTTTGCAGAGGAGGAGACCAGCAAAGGGTTTCTTGCATTCTTTTCCTTTCCCCCCCAGGCTTTTATCAGCCCCTTGGCATGAACACCTGAGAACCTCCAGAGCCTTTATCTCCTCCACCTTCATAGCAGCTCCCTGCCATGGGGGAGTGTTATGGGGCCTGTTTTCAAGTCCCTGGGAAGATACTTCAGATTGTTTTAGGCTGTGGTAAGCTGGAAGCTGAGCTCTGGCATCCTAAAGCTCAGGCTGGTGCATAAATCACGGCCTCAAACCCTCATTTGTTTTCTTCACAAAGGATTTTAGCTTTTCTGAGGCTGGGAGGCGAAGAAAGAAAGAAACATCATCGAGTGTGACTCAAAAGTGTGTTTTATTGCTTTGTGTCTCTGTTCATGATTTGCAAGTGTAGTAAGGAGATACCTACATCGTATACAGAGCTGTAAAAAACAGAACTCATTGCACTCAATCAACATGTCTCAGGTCAGGATGCTATAAGTCCTCCCTAACAAAAGTGAAGTGAACCACTCAACCATTTCTTCCCACCAGGATTCAGGCAGAACTGCTGCTGAAGTCAGTGGAAGTGGGGGCTCACAGCAGAACAAGGGCATCAGGAGAGGAAGCAGCAAACCTTAGCCCCCAGGACTGTATAAACCTAAAAAGTGAAGTCCTTTAATCCACAATTACCTTCTCAGTGCAGCACTGTGTTACATGAGGCGTGCAAGGCATCCCTGCCCATGGCAGGGGTTGGGAACTGGATGATCTTAAGGTCCTTTCCAAGCCAAACCACCCTATGAGATGAAACAAGCAAACTCCCAGGACATACATGGCACTTTGATTATACATTACATGTATAAGCAAATATACATTACACAAAAAATCAAATATACATTACATGTATAATCAAAGAGGGTGATTGAAGTGAGGGCATTTCTACCTCATTTTGTAGCAAATTCAATTTGGAAAGTAATATCACACCCCCTTCAAACAAAGGTCCAGCAAATATCCCTCTTTCTCATCAGGTTCTCACTGATGCACAGCAGCATCAGGACTGACCTGTTCCTTTTGCCTGAGCCACAGAGCTCCATCGCTGGGAATAGAGAGGGTGTTTAGCTTTGGGAGCTAATTTGACAGCCTCATGTTGTGGAAGGAGCTGTGCTTTAGTGTGCAGTTCACAGCAGTGCCCGCCTGCTGCCCGTGTGTCTCTGCTCCATCTTCTCTTCAACTTAGGATAGAGTGCATGAGGAGTAGCATTGCGGATAACGCAGGTGATGGGCCTGTGCGGTGCCAGCTCCAGGAGATGGTGCAGATGCTCATGCATGTGGTCCTGGTGTGCCACGTTTCACATTGGGCTTCCCATTTGCAGGTCTAGAGAGGGGAGAAGGGGTTGATTTGCTTTCATGTGAAAGGAACAAGAAGGTGTTCGATGGATGGCTGCTGCTGAGCTGCTTTAGCCTTGGTCTGCAGCCTGGGACCTCCAAGAGCAGGCTGCGAAGTGCTCCTAAATCCATGGCAAACATTTCAGCTAGATACAGGCAGTAGAAGGACTTTAGGTCCTCCTTATCCTATTTAATGAAGATAATGAATTGTTACACTAATTAAGAAAGGCTTTTTAAGTACCCCTCTGATTTGTGCACTGTCCTCTCAGTGAGCCTTTCCCCACACTCAGAGGTGAATGAAGAAGAGCTCAGGGCTCTTCCTGGAGTTAGGGAAGTTGCTCTCAATCCACAAGGACTTTTGCTTGTTGCAAGCCTGTTCCCTGAAGAGGAGTTTTAGGGGAGGGTTAGGGTTGGGGTTAGGGTGTGCTCCCAAACTGCTTGGAGTCACTGGGCTCCAGCAACTGATGGTTTGCTGCTGCCTTAATGAGCTGAGGGTTTGGCACCGGTTTGCACTGCACATTCATCTGGGGGGGGGGAAATGAATCCTTCAGCTGCCAGCAAGAATCCCAGGCCAGCCCCTGAGGCGCTCTTGAATTGAGTGGATTGCGCTGTTAACTTCCCAAGCGCTTCATTTCAATAACTGGGAGCTGCGCGGAGCAGCAGGAATGCCCTCTCTAAATAAAAGCTTACATCGGCTACAATTGCTTAAACCAGAGCTGTGTCACTTCAGCGCTGCTGAAGCAAAGCTGGCCTCGAGGAGCTGATTTCCTGAGGCACTTGTAAGCCAGCTGCCCCATCGGTGCAACACGGAGCTGTGCAGAGCGGTTTTCCCCCTTAGGAGCAGGGCATCTTTGCACAGGGCTGGTAACAGGGGTTGATGTAAGTGAAGGATGCAAACCTCGCCCTCAAAGGGGTGAAAGAGCAGCTCTTTGTTAGCATTTAGCCCTTGGAAAGCCAGGCAGGGATCTGAAGAGGGCTGGGTAGGATAAATATCCATCATAAACAGGACAGGCTGGTCCCTTCTTCAGCCAGGTGAAAGCAAACACAGGTCTATGGCTGCAGCTGTATTCTGATATAAGATTACACCCAAGGGGCAAAGGCATTGCTGCTCAGTGCCTCTCTCCTTGCACACTGTTCTTGTTCTATACCAAGCTATTGTATTATTATTCCAAACCATTCCAAGGTTATTCCAGCAGTGATTTCTGATGTGTTCTGCCTTTCAGAAATGAAGAGTTGTAGGGATCCAATTCCTGTTAATTGAGGGGGAGGAAGGTTCTTTCTGAAGTACTAATTTGGACAGCTAACCCCCCCCTATTTTTTACCATGAATCCCATAAATGTACAACAATTGTCTGTATCCAATTTAAAAGACGCTTGATTTACAAGAATAAGGCTTCAGAGATGTGAATCAAACCTTCTGGTAACCCAGCTTTTCCAAGCGTGAGCCCGGCCAGAGCAGGAGCAGTGATTTTGGTGCTGGAGCACTCCCTTGCCACCAGCCCTGGGTTGGGTGCACTTGGCACCAGACCTGGTTTTGTGCAGAGCAGGGGGTCAATGTGCAGGAGCAAAATGTGAATTCCTCATGGATAAAAGGGTTTATTTTTGTCCAAAGTGGCAAATTGCAGTTCTTATTCTGATAGGGTTTTCCTGCTGACTCAGGGTGATGGGGGAGGCCATAAAGAAAGGGGTCCTGTCTGCCCGAGGAGATAGGTTAACTGTAAAGCTATACACATCTGCACTGCTGTCATCTAAGAAAGTCATCTAAGGCTGCACCAGCCCCTCTGCTGCTGTTCCTTAATGCCTGTTGGGGAAATAGAGGCACAAAGCCATGGTGATGGTGGTCCAAAATAGTGCAGAGGGGGATTTGGGATGCGATAGCTTTTATCTAATCTAATCCATGGCTCCAATGATGATTCTGAATGAACAGTCTGGGGAGGGGAAGGACTGAAATACGGTCACCCCAGGCTCAGGTTGGAGGCACATAGGAGCACATTGTGCCTGCCCTGGGAGCACACAAGTGTGGTTCATTACAAGCATCAAGTGATGCACAAAAGCTGCCACAAACACCTCATGTCTTTCTATTGCAGAGTCAGTGCTCAGTGATTTGAATTACTTAAGATTAAAGAAACAGACATGGGAGAAGAGAATCTTACCTCTCTTTTTTGCCCTTAATTCACTACGCATCCCCCTCCCAGCCACTGTGTATCGGATGAAGAAGGTTTAGGTTGGATTTTGGCACCTGCCTGCTTTATCCCTTGCGGGTAAGACGCTGCCAAGTTTCAGACACGCACCCTGTCACTCACTAACCTTTTACATCTGCATCTTCGTCTCTTGGTCCCTAAAATGAAGAAGAAAATGTGTCAGTTCAAAGACACCAACTCACAGCTCAGCAAAGAAACGCTGCAGTGAGGCAGGGCTGGCGTTCCCCATCAGCTTGCTATCTTCAGGACGTATAAAGATGGATAAACCCAGCTTGTTTTGGAGGAAAGCCATGCAAGGAAGCAGTGCTGCAGCTCACATTCCCCTCAGGTTTTCACATGAGTCACAGTACCAGCATCAGCCTGGGAGCACTGACAGGGAAGCAGGTTTCCTTGCTGTCTCTAGCAGCTCTGGCATGTTGCTGAAAACCCATTGGCATCAATTAATTCCTAGTGGGAATGCTGCAACTCTTCCCCATTTTAGCATCTAGGTGATTACTCTGGGATGTGTTCAGCAAAATACAATGCCTGGACATTCATTTTAGTATAAGAGCGGGGGGAATCTGCCCTTGAGGGCTGGGGCTGCAGCGATGGGCTGCAGCTCATGGGTTTTCACTGAGCATTCACATCAGCATTAAAAGGCAGGAAGAAATCACTGAGCGGTGTTTGTAGGTTAACTGGGGACCCTGGTGAGTGCAGAGGGGATTGGCACTAACTCCGGGCACTCTGCTGCAGCATCAGCCATTTCCCTCAAGGAGAATGATGTTTTGCTTGGGCTCATCAATGTTTTCTTCCTGCATTCCTTCCTATTGCTGCAGGCCCTGATGCTGAGCAGTTTGCAGGGCTGAAGGATGCTGAAAAATTAATTTTCAGCCTTCCAATACCTAAAGGGGCTACAGGAAACCTGGAGAGGGGCTTGGGACAAGGGCCTGCAGGGACAGGCCAAGGGGAATGGCTTTAACCTGCCAGAGGGGAGACTGAGATGAGCTCTTAGGCAGAAGCTCTTCCCTGTGAGGGTGCTGAGGCGCTGGCACAGGGTGCCCAGAGGAGCTGTGGCTGCCCCATCCCTGGCAGTGTTCAAGGCCAGGTTGGACACAGGGGCTTGGAGCAAGCTGCTCTAGTGGAAGGGGTCCCTGCCCATGGATGAGCTGGGTGAGCTTTAAGGTCCTTTCCAACCCAAACCAGGCTGTGGTTCTATGATATTCTATGATATTTCAGCTGGCTCGGCTGGTAAATTCATCTCCCACCAGCTCCAGGCTGTGGGGAGAGTGAGGATCCAGTTGGGTTCATTCAACAGCAAACCACTGTGGTGTTCCAGGCAAATGAGCTGAGCTGGTTTAATGGAATCAGTGCAACCTCTGGGGTACCTCAAAGCTGAACTGGTTTCAGTGAGCACTAAATTGATTTCAACACATTTGCACTTGCTGCTTGCTCAGGGTAGTGAAAGGTGAGCTTTCACCACAGGACTTTTTGCCTACCCAGAGATTCTGTGTTACTGCTTTAACTGCAGCAGCCTCTGAACCCGTGGGGTTAAGTTGCTCATTCGGTTACAGCTCAAGCTGCTAGCGAGAGTCCTGGCATTTGAATTCACAAGTTGTGTGCCAGGGCAGGTTTATTTTGTCAAAGTGTTTAGGTTCTGGTACTTTCATCCTTTGACTCACCAATATAAGCATGGTAGAGCCAATACAGTTTGGTAGAGTGAAGTTTTCTCTACTTATAATCTGTTTTTCTTCCATAAAGGGCTTTTCTAACCTAAATCATAGAAATCATGGAATGGTTTGGGTTGGAAACCACCATAAGATCATCGAGTTCCAACCCGCTGCCGTGGGCAGGGACACCTCACACTAAACCATGTCACCCAAGGCTCTGTCCAACCTGGCCTGGAACATTGCCAGGCATGGAGCATTCACCACTCCCCTGGGCAACCCATTCCAGTGCCTCACCACCCTCACAGGAAAGCACTTCTTCCTTATACCTAACCTGAGCTTCCCCTGTTTCATTTTAAACCCATCACCTTTTGTCCTATTGCTCCAGTCCCTATGATTCTGTGGTTCTAAACTGGTAACTATTTCTCAGCCTAAGCCTACTGGTGAGTACAATGCAGCGATTTTAGCAGCGGTCCTTCTCTAGGGCTGGCTGTCCTGGTTAGCTGGTGCCTATGTAAAGGGGATAGCTGGAAGATCTCTTCCCCTGAAGGCCAGGGCTGCAGTTTCAGGCTAAAGGAATGTCTATAGAGGGTTACGGGTGATGCTTACGTTGGCACAGGATGATGGTGACTGCCAGGGCGAGCAGGAGCAGGAAGCAGGCGACTGTCAAGGGAACCCAGATGAAGATGTCACATAGCAAATCCAGCCCTTTCTCCTCGCTGGTCTCTGCAGGAAGAGAGAAAGGGGAAGGTCCACCATGCGCTGGTGGAGCCAGGGGACCTGCCTGGTGTTCGGTGAGGCTGGTGGTGAAGCAGAGGGTTCCCCCTGCCCCGCCAGTGACCTCCACAAGTGCATCAGTTACTGCTGATCATTCACATCAGTGTCAAAAGGCAGAAGTAAACCCGTGAGTGGTGTTTGTCACTGGAGAACCCTGGTGACTTGAGAGGGAATTGGCACAGCAGTTCCTGGGAGGACGTGTAGCCAACGGTGTTCTTGTGTCCCCTGCTGAGTCCAAACCCATCCCCAAACCTCCCTCCACCTCTTCCCAGTGTGCCCAGGCATGAGACCCACTCATGCTTTTACACCATTTCCTACACAGGATGAAACGCTGGAGTTTGATCCTTCCAACTCTGCTAAAGCTCCATGGTTTTTCACACTCCCCACACCCCAAAACGCCTCCAGGATCCCCCTCGGTATCAATGGACCAGAGCCCAGCTCTTTCCCTCTCCCTTCATGCAGCAGAGCTACCTGAATCCGGGGTCTTCAGGCAGGGGTCCCTTTCGGTGATGTTGGGTGCTGGGGTGGTGGGTGCTGGGGTGGTTTTGGGTGCCACTGTGGTGGTGACTGTAAGTGAAAATGGATGTAGAATACAGTGAATATCTCCCTCCTGCCTTTGTGCCCTCTCACCCCAGGCCATGCCTCTGGCCACAGGGCTCAGGTCCAAGGGGACCTCATAGAGCCCACGTTGGGTTGTGACTCCCCCAAGACCCAGTAAGGAGCTGCAGGCTCCTTATTTCTCACTCCCTGCTCAGGGGGTGGTGATGGACTTTGCTTTAGTCTTATCCCTTAAGAGCCATGAATGGGATGGAGAAGCGGGATGGGGAGAGGTGATGCTGTGTCTGCCCCATCGCCTTTGCTTTTGGCCACGAGATGCAATCAGGGAGCCTCTGGCTGCACTGGTTATGAAATACCTTGGTCAAGCAAGCAGGGACAATGGGGTCTGTGGGAGAGGTGACCGGTTACAACAGGCAGGGACAAGAGGTGCTGGGTGTTTTGGCAGAGCCAATCAAGGTTGGGTGGAGGTGTTGCTGACCTGGGAGGAAGACAGGCTGGCCAGGGCTGAAGTAAAGGGCTTGGTTGGTGTTCATGAGGCAGAAATAGTTCCCCTCGTCCTGTGGCGTGAAAGACTTCACTACCAACCGGTAGAACCTGCTGTCTTTCCACGCCTCAAAGCGTTCGGATGTCCTCATACTATTCCCCCCAAAGGTGGTCCGGGAAAGGGAAGAGGTGAAGCCAATGAAGCGAAGGGTCCCAGCCTTGTCCTGCTGGACCCAGAATACGCCACTGTCCATGTTGCTGCTCTCACACTGCAGCACCAGCTGCTGTCCCACCCGGGGCTGCCTGATGCTGTGGATCTTCATCGTATCCCTCTGGCCACGGATCCCAGGGCAGCCTGTGGGAGAGGAATCCTTGTGGGAACCACTCTGGAGGAGCCATGTTCCTTCCAGACAAACCAATTCCTTGTCCGTGAGGTCAAATGCAAAGGGAGGACCATGCTGCCTGCATGACTTGAAGGTTTCATTGGAGTCCTTGCTGGGACTGTGCATGAAGGCTGCTCAGCAATCAGCCACCTGGGCTTTAAGGGTGAGTGCTGCCCTTAAAGCCTTCCAGCCGCCTTCTCAGGCGTGTTACCCCTTCCCAGCCTTCCCAAAGTGACTCCTTAAAAACACTGACTGCTAAATCCCCCTGTTTCCCATTCCCCCTCCCCTCTAGAGCCACTTCTCCAGCCAGGCTCCCTTCCCAGCACAAATGATGCTGCAGCCACCCATCCATCCGTGCTGCTTTCACCTCCACCGAGCAAACCTCAAAGCCACCCTTTTTGCTTTGCTTTTTACATTCCCTTTAACCATTTAGCCCAGTTTCTTGGATTCAGGGGCAGGGATTTACTTGCCCATCCCGGTGAAGGTGATGCACAACCCCATAGTGTCCATACTCACAGAGCCCCAGTGTGAGCAGCAGGAGCAATGCAGGAGCCCCAGTCATCTCCTTGGTGGAGCGGAGCAGAGCTGATCTTGCTTGCTTGACTTGGGTAGGCTGTGCTGCTCTTTGGGGAGGATGTGATGTCACCAGGGCCCTCTTGGGCGATGTTCAACATCTGCAGCAAAATAAGGAGAAAAATGAGACTCCTGAAGAAAACCAGCTCTCATCCAGAATTCGGGCTCATTTATCACTGCAGCTCTTAACGGTGCCGCAAGGATTTTGCCTCAATGACTCCCCTAGAGATCCAGACTGATGGTGCTCATGTTTGAGATAGGATCAGCCCCTGCAGCCGTCTGGGGGTTCAGAGCAGCTCCAGCTCCACACAAGTGATGGACAAAGCCAACGCTTTGGCTGCAGGCCCCAGGCTGCAGGGATTCTGCTGCCTTCGCTTGTGCTCACCCGCAGCGTCTCACATGGATGGCAGAGCACACCCTGTCTCACCACCACATGGGTGTTTCATGGCAAGTGTTGTTTACCCCGAGCACACGTGTGGCTGCCCTGCAGCTGAGCTCTTCAGGTGCTGCTGGGGTGTTCTCTTTGCAACCCCTCTCTGCAGTTGCTCTGCAGAAGCCGCTCAGCGCGAGGCAGGTGGTCTGTGATGTGAAACCCATCGAGAGAGCCCATGCCCTCGAGTTGTGCTTTTGACATCTTGTGGTTTGCTTCTGGAACCACAGGGTCTTCCGCCCTGCCAGCAAACCCCTGCGTGCTTCAACCGGGAGGGCCCTTGCTGCTGCCTCCAGTGACCACTTGCACATGGGTATGGGTGATGCTTCCTTGAACTGCGATGCTGGTGGGCTGGTGCGTTATAGATCTTCTTACTGGCACTTCTTGGCTTTCCTGTTGGTTGCTTTTCTGTGGGAGGTGTTTTTCTATGACTCCGTTGCACAGAAATCCCCCTTTTTCCTTGGTTGTGTCAGGAACCAGGTGCTGCTGATGCCATTGCCGTTGCTATTGCGGCTGCTGCTTAATGATGAGTGAAGGAAAATGGGTTAGGAGCTGGCTTTATTCCATTGGGCATCAAAGCGTGTTGGTGAGTGAGGAAAGCTGCTGTTAGGCCCTGCTGGGATGTGTGAAATTCATACTGAGGCTGTGAGACTTGTGATGTCTGCCTGAAATAGAGCAGGTTTTGGCAAAAGGAAGATAAAATGGGTTTCATCAGTTAAATGCCATTACAGGGATCTGGATCTCACAGTCCCATCAAGGAAATGTCAGACTTGAGCTCTATGTCACCTCTGAGCACTCCATGATGTGATGTCCATCTCCAGATGGGACATCAAGTGGTGATACTTGCATAGGCTCCTCCTGGTTTCAGTGGGCAGCTCTTTCTCCTGATCCTAAGTAGAATTCACCTTCCCTTTATAATGGGGTAAGCTGCTCTTGGGAATTGTCTGTCTCCATAAGCTGATGGAGGAATATAGACAAGGAACTGAAACCATGGCCTGCCTTGTAGATGACTGCAGTTGAGTCTTACGTTTTCTGAGATGCAGAAGTGAGCTGGTCCCTGCCATCCACCAGGACTGTTGTGTGGGTGCCTCCTAACTTCATCACTACTACACCTCAGTGACAGCAAATGGGATTTCAGAAGCAATTTCCAAAGTACAACCTGAGACCAAAGTAGGAAAATTCCTCATTCCCATTTTTCAGTATGGTTCAAATGGGAGTGAGTTTGCTGGCAAAAGAGGGTGGTTCAGGTGTTTGTCAGGACCAGGTTCTCACTCTGATGTAGGGTGTGGATGCTTAACTACAGTGCATAGTGTGTCCTCAGACGTATAGTGATGGATGTGCTATACATCTAAAGGTTCATTCAGGAGGTGATGTTGCCTTTTAGCAAGGACATCTTACTTATCTCTCTTCATTATGAATCTCAATGATCTTAAAGGTCTTTTCCACCCTGGTTGATTCTATGATTCTATGGATCAGTGCAGGGTAACAAACCGGAGCGCAGAGGTTCCTCTCCTGGGTGTAGAGGTGTCCTAGATCTTGGTCCTCATGGCCTGAGCTGGTTTCCATGCAAGGCCACTGTTCCCTTTGTTACATTCAGACTCTGTGTCACCATTCTCCTTTTTCTCTTCACACACGTACTTGCTGAAGCGCTTTGTGACTCATCACTGCACGAATGGTGCCACCAGCCCCTGTGTCTTGTGACTCCTGCCCATTGTGCTGGGGAGTCACAGGAGATGGCTTCAGGGGGAGCTATTCCCTTCTGCTGCCTGCAATAGACTGCTCATAAATATATCCTTTAAAGGCAAGACAAAAGCTTCTTGTCAGCAGAGAGATACAGCTGCAAGGGGGGGTGTCACACATCTTTCTTCTGCATGGACACTCTGTTGGCCAGAGGGATCCAGGCAAGTGTAGCTCCAACAGAGACATCTGTATATGATTGGACAAGACCACCCCTTTCCTGTCCCCCCATCTCATGGCTCTGAAATAATAAATGAGCTGGGGCAGGGATCATTTGTTTATAGAACCATAGAATGGTTTGGGTTGGAAACTGCCTTAAGATCATCCAGTTCCCACCCCCCTGCCATGGGCAGGGACACCTCACACTAAACCATGTCACCCAAGGCTCTGTCCAACCTGGCCTTGAACACCGCCAGGGATGGAGCATTCACAACCTCCCTGGGCAACCCATTCCAGTGCCTCATCACCCTCACAGGAAAGAACTTCTTCCTTAGATCCAATCTAAACTTCCCCTGTTTAAGTTTTAACCCGTTACCCCTTGTCCTATCACTACAGTCCCTAACGAAGAGTCAAGAGCTTCTGGCTTCTGTGGTTAGGTATGGCTCAGCGTGAAGCTGCTCCTGTTTCACAGAGTAATAAGGACAGCTAAACCAGTTGCACTGTTTGATTATGGAAATGTCCAGGCACAAGCAGGACCTCCAGGAAAAGCTCCCATTTAAAACCAACACTTGTATAAAGGATTTACGTCAGTGATGTAAGTTTTATATTGATCACCTGGTCCAAAACTGGGAGCAGGAAGTGGCCAATAAAATCAGTTAAGGAATGTCTGTCTAGTTTGGTGTTTTGTCCTCTAGATGGTATTTTGCAATAGACTTGGCATTGTTAGACTGGGGGCCTAAGTCAGACCAGTGAAACAGCAGCATTAGTAACACGTTAGTAGTGTATATTAATGTAACATATATTAATGTATATTAATATAACATATTCTATTGTGGTGCCACAGTTGTGACAAAGGAAGAAGGAGAAACTCAACCAGTTGCTTCTGCAGAGCATCATATAAGATGTCAGGGCACCAAAGAGGTTTGTTAGCCAGTAGAAGGTAATTCCTTTCTCTTTTCCCAAACCTAGCTATTTTACTCATAGATAAGGTTGTCGGGCTCTGATTGCTGGTGAACTCCAACCTAAGTTGCCTTTGACAGAGGTTTATCTTTATATGTTAGGACCAGCTTAGGGCTGTATTTAATGAATGTCAAATAATTAAGCATAAGGAGACAGGAGAAAGGAGAGAAGAGACAAAATTATGCAGGGAACAGACTGACAAGAGTGTTGGAAGCCTTTCTTGAATGGAGCTTGGCAGGAGGTGAGTTCAGGATTCACTTTCTCTATGGTTGCTTGCATCCACTGAACAGAGAAGACAGGGAAATGAGAAGGAGCTCAGGGCATCATTGCTGAAGGAGATGCTGAGTTTCACATATGATTGATTTCTCAGTCATTTTGGGTAAGGATCTCAGTGACTTCTTCATGGTGGTAAGAAACTCTTCAGCTTCTGAGCATCGGTAATACCAGACATCACGTGGAAGCCTCAGCAAGAGCACATCTCAGGACATGGGAATTACACTGCGATCGACAGCTGGTAGACATAAAAGGAGCATCAAAATGATCATCCTCTCTGAGGTCCCTTGTTCTGTTGTCCATGGTATCTCCTCATAGTGCTTCAGGAGGGCTCCCCATTGCAAAGCACTGATGTGGCGCTGCTGATGATGAGCAAGCGCTGCTTGGTCCCTGCAAGTGATCAGTGATGGGATTGACGCTGGACTGTGCGTGCTTCAGTGCTGCTGATTCTTCCTCTCATTACCCTTTAGAAGATCTCCTTCATGAGGAGGAATGGAAAGTTCTAATGAAGAGTTCAAAATCTAGCCCCAGATCACACAATCTTGTTTCAAACAGAGGGGAAAAAGAATCTTGAGACTGAAGCACACAACTTTTTCCTGTGTGAAATGAGCCTGTGGTTTATGAGCAGCTTGCTGCCCCCCTCTTTGCAAAGCTGCACCACCAAAGGGGTTTGTAGAATGTCAAGTGCAACTGTCACACACCAGATGCTATCTTTCCACTGTAGCTGTTTCCAACTCGGTGGCCAACACTGCCCTTTCTTCTGTGTACTCTCACACACCTCATTTACAGTGTGCAAACCACAAGCGCTCCTGAGCCTTCATCTCTCCATGGTGTTGACCTTTAGCTTGGTCACTGGGTTGGAGATCTCCCTGATCTCCGTGTTTGCTGGTACCTCAGCTTTGAGTTTGATAAGGATGTGCAACGAGTTTTCCTTGCACAGGCTTCCCACACTTGATGCTGCGAACCGCACAAGGGTCTCTCTGGAGAAGGTGAATGTGAAATGATGCATGCAAGGAAAAGCAGTCCTTAGTCTATAACTAATGGCTGTTCCACTGCTGCTCTGATTCTTTACCTCCTGCATCAGGATGACTTGGAGCATATATTTCAGTGTCATTTGCAGCTTGTTGCTCAGGGCAGGAATACACAATCCCAGCCCCAGGAATATTCTGTCTCAATTTCTTTGAAGAGACTGATGATAGGAAATATCCCAACTTGGATTTTGCATTCGGTGCTGATGTGAAGGCAGAATGTGAAGCGCTGGAGCTGGGTGTCAGCACAGCCCAGCACAGCTCCTTGGTAACCAACAAGTTTACCTTGTGCGTATGCTGGACAATGGTTGCACCTTAAGCTTTGCTGAGGAACAACAGAGGTTCTGCCCATGACTCTCTACGCAGGGCCCCCATCAGCATCTCCTCCCGTGGTGGTACCCAAAGAGATGTCAGATGTGGTGGCTTTCTGACATGGGCCATGCTGCAGTGTGGAAGAGCAGCACATACCCATCACCTCCCATGATGCCCTGCCTCTCCCCAAAGACATCTGCCCCATACCTGGGCTTTGTGTTGTATTTTGTGCTGCCTGCATGGCTCCAGCTCTCTGCACTGGAAGGGAACAACAGGATATGTGGTGGGCACGATCACACACGTAGCTCTGGGGACAGAGATGTCTCTTAAGCCACAGCCTTCCTCCCTGCACAGCCTCATGACGGGAGGGTGATGTACCCGGTGTTTTGGTACCCAACCTCTGACTGGATGTTTTAACAACTAGCAGAGAAGAAGAGCAGGAAAACCAATGTGGCTTGCAGCTTGGGCAGGGTAAG